TTTAAACACACCATTTCGAAGCACATAGTGGGCTGCGAGTGGGGGTGGTTCCTGAAGAGGCAGGGCTCACCGTGGGAGTTACACCTAGGTCAGCAAATTGTCCTGTGGCTTCTCGTTCAGTAGTGGTGCTGTGAGTGTGTGGAAATGCAGAGCCTGACTGTCACTATCCAAGTGTTGCGTACAGTCTGCTTAAGGTAGCAATTGCTCAACTTGTATGCTTTATCTAGGGTGATAATCCCTTCCGTGTGACCTAGTTCAGCTTTTAACCTGCTAATACTTTTTCCAACTAGCTTGTGGATGGTTGCCGTGATTGAGAGACGGGACTCTGCTTGATGCAAGCAAGGTGTCGTTTATTGTTACACGAATATGCTTCTTATAGAAAAGGGAGTGATTTCTTATAACCCATATAAGGTAAAACCCATACAAATCATTTGCTGATTGGCTACTACTAGGCTAACAAAGTCTTCTATCCTAAAACAAAAGGCTAGGTGGTCACAAGATGCACAGGTTTACTGTTTGACCACAGTTTTCTCATTCCTTTGTCGCGGCCTGCTAGCGAAGCATGCCTTTGTTCTTGCAGACTCAGTTCCTTCTTATCATCTTGTTTACACAGACATCCCTCTGTGTATTCCATGGTCTATATCCAACCAGCTCCAGCATGCCGCCGGCCGCCGATAGGCTGGGTAGCACTGGATATCTTATCTAAGTCTGATAAGCCATTCCCTGCAGATGGTGTGCACATTCAAATGGTAGAGCTGCCAGTAATGGTTCGTAGTCCTTGCACGCATCATTATATTTGTCTCCTTCTTCCAATGAAAAGCTGAAAAGACCAAGCTAATTCTCAGTCAGGTTCTCAATGATGTCATAGCTGTTAAAAATGGTAGTGTATGACCAGCAATAATCCCCCAATCAGGGTCTTCTTTTGGCTGAGCCAATGACTTGGTATTTGTGCTCCCTTTGGATTTGGTGTTCTACTTTTAGTCTTATGTATCCATTAAACAAATGCCCTGCTTTTCAAGTGCCCGGAGCCCAGTTTCTGTTTATACTGCTTCTCTTCTTCTGCTTTTTTGGTCTGTCACTCAGCACATCTGTCATTTCAGTGTTAGCTTTTGCTATCTTGATTCGGAGGCTTTTTGCTGTAGCTGCAGCCCATCCTTCCTGTGCAGACCTCATTGACTTGAAGATCTTTGATGTGAAAAAGGGTTTCATGTCTCAAAGTTGATACATCCATTCTGGATGATGGTGGTCTTACCTTTATCAGGGTTCTCATTGTCTGCCCAATGTTAGACTGTTCTGGAATCTACTGTCATCCTATGCTGGAAACTTCCTTAATGGACATCAGTATATCTTCTGTTTGTCAGAGGAGGGCATCCTGTATTCTGTATCTTTTGATCTTATTGGTTACCTTCATTAGCACAACCTATATTCTCTTATTTTTCTTGCACTGAGAATACTAAAATTCATGCCCTGGTTTCAGTTCAAGCGTATTGTTTCTTATCTGCGTCTCATCAAACACATTGGTTTCCCCTGCTGTTATAATACTCTTCTGCTGCTAGAGGACAGCAGCCTTGACCCAGTCATCATCCTGAGATGGGTGCCAGTCTGCTGTGTCTGCCTACTCTGTAACTGAGAATAATGGGCTAGAGTGTGTCCCAGTGGCCAGGAAGGGTGTTAGATATGGGGTCTTAAGATCAGAAACCTTCTTTCCTGAGAACTAGCCCTGGTTTCAGATTAAATCAAAGAAACATAAAAACGTTTGAAGGGGGCATGAATGTCTTGGGTCATCAGAAGTCCATGTTTTCCTGGTCCTTACAGAGATATATACGTAATGGTAGTGTGTCTCATGGTCTGAAAAGGTGTGAGCAGTGCAAGTCCAACTCTGTGTCAGACAACTTTTTGAGCTGTGCTAGGTTTTGAACTATAGAGACACGGCTGTTGTTACATAGGCTTTTATATTGTTCTAGTGAAGAAAATTAATTTAGGTTGAAAACCATACGCTGAAAAAGCCTGGGTACCTAGAAGAGGGCTCTGAGCTTAGGAGCTGTTGAGTTTCTAAAATTATTTAGTTACACCGGTTAAAGTAGGGCTGGGGAATGAATTTCTTTAAATTCCAAAATTATAAGCGATTGATTTAAATTGGTGTTCGTAATACATATTGGCATCATTGCATGTAAGACAATTGGTCCCAATTTTGCAAAGGCCCTTGGGTGGGCCTCCCAATTCTTGTCCCCTTCAGTAAGGACAAGCTTAGAGGTACTTGTGTGGGCTAATGCAGGATCCGGTTACAATTTTCATTGTCTTGGAGTTCTTAAGGTGAGTGTATAAATACAAATATTTTTTCTAGCCTTAAAATTCTTTCTAGGAGGATCTGCTTCATCTGCTTGGTGTTCCCAATCTTCTGTTTCAAATTAATGATGGATTACAGTAGTGACGTGGAGTATCATACAATAGTATGAGAGTAGCAGAACTGGTAAAAAGAAGTCAGAGAAGGAAAGTGTAGATGACTGACTTCTTTTTTCTCAGCAAGTTTGTAATATTGTTTTCCTAATCACCTACATATTTAATTACATGTTTTAAGTAAATTGAGTGAAGATTAGAAGCCTAATTAAGCTCTATTAATTTTTCTTAGGTATTCTTAAGCAGGTTAAAGATTACATTAAAGAATGCAGCAAGTGCCAGGAAAGGCTAGATCGCTCTAGATCTCTGTCAGATCCTTCTGATGTGCTGGAGGAGCTAGGACTGGATGCAAAATCTCATGAAGACAGTAATGAAACAGATGATGAGTTGAGTAATACGGCATCAGTCACAGCTGCATCCCCAAAGCCTGTGAAGAAGAAGCCAATAGCAAAGCATGAGCTTGTATTTGTAAGTACCGTTGTTTACGTCTGAATATATTTGTTTGTAAATGCGTTCTTAGTCACATACTTATTTTCCATTGTTGTGATAATCTTGCAATAATAAGACAACATAAATTTTGCAAAAGATGTTCAATATGTGGAAATGGATTATTGGTATATAGGATATGAAATTAATTACAATTTGTTGTCTTTGGAAAATAAAATCACCCTGAGTCCTATTTATGCATATACGATTCAAGGGAAAGTGAATGGCAAAAGTAGTAAAGTATCACATACAAGATTGTCATGGAATCTATATCTGTTCCTTAAAAATGATGCTATATTTATATATAAAATTATTGATTATAACTGGGGGCTTATGCGCGTGTAAAGACTTTTGAATCTAGAAAGCATTTCAGACTGTAGCATTGAACAATACAGGCAAAGAACTGTTTGAATATCCATGTCGTCACTTTTTCCTGTTGTCTGTTTTAACTGTGTTTGGAGGGAGGGTGAGACTTCACGCATTTTTTTCAAGAAAGAAAACAATGGTAAAGTTAAGCTGTATATTATATAGTGTTGAACTGATTGTACGGTTGCAGAAAATAATCCTTTTTTGTGTTTCAGTGTGAATGCTTAAAAAGGCACAGTCTAAATGTAATGAAGTTTTCATAATGTTGTTTATGACAGGTTGACAGTAAGGGCCTTGTGAAGCAGTCATCTTCCAAACATTGTCTGTCAGTCTTAAACCAACTGAATCAGCAGAGGCTTTCCAATCAGTTCTGTGATGTGACTCTGCTGATTGAAGGAGAGGAGTACAAAGCTCACAAATCTGTCTTGGCAGCCAACAGCGAGTACTTCCGAGAGCTCTTCATTGAAAAGGGAGCTGTCTCTAGTCATGAAGCTGTAGTGGATCTGTCAGGTGAATTGTTGTGGGTTTCAAAGCTAGAAATTATAATATCCTAAGTAAGGTGTACAGTATTTAGTCAGTCTTTTCTGAGTGTTCAAGACAACCAAATATTTTATCTTGCTTTTTTCTCTCTTTTAATCTAAAAGTATTTTGTGTGGATTTTAATGCTAAAGTGATCACTCTGGTTTGCTTAATCTGGTCTTCCATATCGAATGGACTACGGGATTTCATCCTAAAATTTCTGAGAAGCTTTGGATTGTTTTTTAACCTTGCTTTGGTGTGTTTTCTCCTTTTACTAGTCACAAACATTAAAAAAGGGAACCTAATGAAATGCTTGAATATATCAAAAGAGGATGTTGACTAGCTTCTCAGAGCTGTTTTGCAGAACAAATACTAAATTGTTTCTTACGTCTGTAAAACACTATTATATGTGTTTCTGCTTATTTCTCAAACCTTCTGGTGCCTTAAAGATAGGAGACAATCCTAAAATAAATGTTCTAAAAATAGCCTTGTAGTGATGAAGAATACTGTACAGAACATAAGCCTACTGTGTTGCTTTCTCATTAGTTTCTTAACTGTGCCTGTCTCTGCATGAACAATAGACATGCATGAACACAGGTTTCTAGTATGATGGTCCAGAAGGTCCCCCAAATTAAATATTTTATTTATGAATTACAGAACTGTGGAAATTATACCAAAAACTTATTTTTAAGCATTTCTATCTATATACACATACCTGTATCTTTTTCATTAGCCACTTTCTTGTCTTATTTTTCTGCCACTTCAGTTGTTTCTGAAGTCCTGACTACTTTGTGAATATAGCAGGTCCAAAAAAGACTTTGGTTAAATTTGGGTTAATCTGCTTCAAAAATATTGTGGCTTCTCCCAGGATCTTGAAACATCGTCTAGAGAATTTTATTGTGAAAGTACCTCAGTTGTACTTACTTACTGGAAGAGTTGTCTGAGCTTACTTCAGTGTAGAAAATACACAAGGAGGATGCTTTTGCGTAAATTACAATTCATTGAGTCCCAATGGAGGGGCATCAATGTTACTTGCAAGTGTGTTTCACCCTGAATTTCAGACTTAACCATATCAAAGGTGGATATTTTGGTGTAATTCAGGGTCATCAGTGATTGCTCTAATCTCTTGTTTTATTCCTGGTAGGGTTCTGCAAGTCCAGTTTCCTGCCTCTGTTGGAATTTGCTTATACTTCAGAATTAACCTTTGACTTCTGTAGTATGGCAGAAGTGGCCATGCTTGCCCGACATCTCTTCATGTCAGAGGTCCTTGAAATCTGTGAAAATGTGCACAAACAGATGGAAGAGAAACAAATTACAGTTTACCAAAAGGGAGATATTAAAACAGTAGAGTCAACACAGAGTTTAGCGGAGCAGACTGAAGTTGCGACACAGCCTGCGGACAGTGCTGAGCAACCTGAGCTTGCAGACAGTGAAGTGCCAGTAGCTGTGAATGGAGCTTCTTCCTCTGCTGGGCCAGAGGAGGCAGCAGCACCCCAGCCTGATCTCCTGCCCCCAGAGCCTGTGGAGGCCACTCCAGATAATCTTTTGAAGCCTGTGGAGCAGTGTGAAACAACTGAAAATTACGTCAAGATGCAGCTGGTGGAGAGCATTTCAAATAGCACAGTGTCTGTCTTAGAGGCTGAGCCATCGGCTGTGGAAGCCATGGACACACAAACGGAAATTGAGGCAGATCAAAATGAAAGTGGTAAAGCAACCGTGGACGCTGCTTCTGAAGATTCCTCAGAAACACTTGAGCAAAAATGTGGCAGGCAAAGTAAAGAACAGATCATCTCAGTTTCACAACCAGAAAGCCTAGCTTCCAGCCAAGATGATACTTACAAAAGCAAACTTCGCCAGCGTTCTGTTAGTGAAGGGGGATATATCAGATTGCATAAAGGAATTGAAAAAAAACTGCAAAATAGAAAGACAAATCCTAAATCTGCAATACAGCAGGTATTCTATCTGTCTTTAAGCCTGTTGTCAGTAGTCATCCAGTGTTTCAAGACCAATCTGAAAAGACTGTTTTTTGTTCCAAGCACTGTCTGTCAAATGTTTTTCTTTTTTGAGCGATTAACATCACTGCAAACCAAAGTAGCTTCTAAGATGTGACAGTTGTAACAAAAAAAAAAAAAATTGGTGTCAAAATTCCTTCTGTATTGAAGATGTTTAGAATGCTCAGTGACCTTAGCCCAGCTTGAGTGTCTTCTCACAGCTTCTTATGGTTGGACAGAAGGTGTATCTTCTCCCTAAAATTCTTAATGATTTGCAAATTCAGTTCTTAACTAGCATGTGTGTATGTCAGTCATAGACAAATATATTTATCTTTTAGAGAATTGAGATCCTACATTTGTTAAGACTTGAAAAAAAGAGCATTGGGAGCATTGGGGTTGAAAAATTTGGCATCCTGTATAGGTCTTAAGACATAGTCATAAGTCACAATAATGCAGTCCTGCTACCTTCAGATTGGGGTCAGTTTAAAAACCAAAGGGTCCAAAGAGCACTGGTATTGAAAACTCCAGCACTCGGTCATACTAAATGCTTAGTAACGGAACTAGTTGGGTTTTTTTTGTTGTTGTTGTTTGTTTGTTTGTTTTTTAACATGAAATGCTTTTCTTACTCTTTCCCCTTCGGGAGCCTTTCTTCTTTTAGTGCCTATGGATAGCTGACATTCACCTTACTGAGCATTAATACATTTGTTTTTGTGACAGAGCACACTTTACCTTGCTCATTGCACATTGACTAAATCTTACAAAGACTTCCAGAGATGTTCTGTGAGACATTTACATATTAGAGCAACCACTCCCACATCCAGGGGGATAATTTGTTATCATTACAACAGCCTAATAGATAGAAATTGTAGCATTAGCCTCATTTTACAGATGGACACCTTAAAGCCCAGATGTTAAAACTAGCATAATCAAAATATTTGAGCAACCTATTTATGATGGTTGGAGAATGACACATTTTTGTTCTGTTTTGGGACAGGGAATATCTACCTTCAGGAAGAGCTCCTGTTAACTTATTTTGCAGTTTTTTAAGTCTGGCCCCTTTACAGATGAGGTCTACAGACAGCAGCCACTTATGGAAAAAAGAAATTGTTTTAGATAATCACTTAGATTTGGACTTCTGCCTTCCTAACTCATTTTATAGCTTTTAGTATTTTTGTTTTATGGATCCCTCAACTCCCTTCCATGGCGCTGGATGTCCTATAAGGATTGCGAAGGAAGTACTCCTTCCTGAAGTTCCAAATTTTGGTGCTGGAAGAAAAACAGGAAGGAGAGGCTGCAGGAGAAGAATCCTGCTGACTTTTGAATTACAGTAATTGTAGTTGGCATAGAGATGTTGGGGATCAGGCATGCTTTGTAGGAATAGATTATTTTCCAAGCTCTTACTAATCATCTACTGAACAGAATTATTTTGTGGCTTCACAATTTAGCTAAGATTGGAAAAGTTTTCAGTGCAACAGCAAAATTTAAAAAGATTAAAATGTTATCCCTGTGTGGAGTTTCAGGTTGGTTTTGAGAGACAGAGACATGGAAGGGCTAGCATATTTTCAAAAACTGTTAGATACTTCACTTGTGGAGAGCACAGGAGGAAGAAATGGAGATGCTTGTACTTTTTTTCCCTTGTCTTATTCTCAGAAACCTGAAAGGGGGGGTACCTGATACAGGAAATTTCAGCCTGATTACTTACAATTTGGCTTTTAAAGAATTTGACAGCAAGTTTCTATAAAGGAAACGGAGATTATCAGCTCCAGGTAGCACTGCCAATACTGCGTAACAAAAAACCACTAGCGCCTAGCAAAAAGAACACTAGTAAAGCTGGAATGCTCTTAACCAGAAAGAACTTCGCTTAAATACTGTAAGTTTTTTACAGGTTATTAATAACTCAGATTTGCTGGCTGGTAAAAATTAATTAGGCCACTCTTTTTTTAATCTGATGACTTTTGTAGTAAAGCAGTTGTAAGTCCTGAAAATTGAGGCTGGAGTTTAGGAAAGGGTTGGAAACATTTGATAGAAATTGTGACTGGCAGTACTTTGTGGTTCCTCTGTAACTATCTGATCACTCTCACTTAGGCAGTTACTCAGGGCTGAATACTTAGTTGTCTCTGCACTGGTATGTCATTGTCTGCCTATAATTATAACCAGCTTATGGTTTTAAAACAAGACCAGTTTTTCACCCACCATGAGATATGTAGTTTTGCAGTGAAAGGGGATAACTTTCTAGCATCTAAGTAAACCAAGCAAGATTAGGTGGTGTTATAGTAACACACAGAAACATCAGCTTTTAGTACTAACTTGCAGAGGAAATATAAAACACTGTAGAAAATTTCTTTTAAGGGTTATGTTTTTTCAACTTAGGTTACCATGAAGCTGGTAAGAAGAGGGAAAAAAATGAAACAACCCAAAAGAGAAACCATGGAAAATAATGAAGTAGAAGTTCAGCACAAATGCACTGAGTGCGGAATGGTTTTCCAGCGGCGCTATGCACTTATAATGCACACACTGAAACACGAAAGGTCTAAAGATTATAAATGCCCAGTAAGTTGTTTTTTTTTTTTTTCAATCTATAAACCTCCCTCTTTATGAAAATTAATTCAGTGATTAAATCAGTAATTATTTTTCTTGTCTCTTTTCATACATGTATTTATTTTTCTTACGGATTTTGGAGACATATACAGCCCTGATCTGGATGGGGTGGGGTAAAATGTGGTGCAGCCATGTGGTCTGATAGCACCATGTGATATGGGAATGTGCTTGCTGCTCAAGACGGTGCTGGAGTGGGCTTTACTTTTAACCTTACCAGTAAATTTGCAACTGTGTTTAGATTAGCCTGGAAGCTAGCCTCATTGGGAAGCAATCAGTGGTTCTGTCAGTAGCCATAAAATTCAGAATTTATCAATTAACCTGAGATAAAATGCCTATTGGAGTCCAGTTATAGACCTAGCTAATCATATTCTATACTTAAAATCTTTGATTACCTTTTCTTTTAAATAAATTTTGAGTATTAAAAGCAAAGTTGTAATATTTCTTTCCCAGTTGTGTAAAAAAGAATTCCAGTATGGTGCTTCCCTGCGAGCCCATCTCGTCCGGCACACTCGGAAGACCGAAGTGAACACTGCTGCTGCTAGTGTGGAAGAGATGGGCGTGTCTTCAGTGAAAGGGAGAACTAAACGGGAATTTATATGTGATATATGTGGGAGAACTCTACCTAAACTCTATTCTCTCAGAATACATATGCTCAAACATACAGGTGTAAAACCACATGCATGCAAGGTAAAGTCCTTTTACTCTGTAATCCAGTTATTCATGTTTTGGTAATATTTTAGTATTGACACTCTGTCCTAAAATTTAGGTTAATTTAGGTCACTTCAGAATGGGGAAAATGTAGCATTCCTGATGAAAATTCTTGTAGTCCAAGACTGAGAAAACTAGAATGAAGTTGAATCATGAAAGTTCACATTCCTGTGTCTAGAAGAATGTCTTCCCTTGAGTATTCTTTTTTAACAGACCAGTTCTGGCACTGGCACAGAATCACAGGCTTGGCCATCCCGGTTCCCAAGAAATACAGGAGGTTTTGTTGTGTTTGAAGTTAAACACCTATTACATCATGAGTTTTATTTGTCCTGTTCCACCGGATATGGATTTTTTTAGGTTTGTGGAAAGACCTTTACCTATAAGCATGGATTAAAAATGCATTTAGCTCTCCATGAAGTACAGAAACAGTTCAAGTGTGACTTGTGTGAAAAGTCTTTTGTCACAAAAAGAAGTCTTCAGGAACATATGAGCATTCATACAGGTAAGTGACGAAAAGAGGATCCTTTTACTTTGGTTGACTAGTGTATGCTGCTGAACTTGTAAGATTGTTCTTCAGTGTCCAAGGAACTGTTTCAAAAAATAAATAGTTTCTCCTTTTTCCTCTACTGGTCAGGTAGCTGAGATAGAGGTAAGTAGTCATTTTGCATTTATTTTCTGGGCTTATTTTGCTGTAGTTTACTGTTATTATGCAAATATTCTGTACAAGAACAGGGAACCATGGTTGGTCTGTTCTTATGTTTTTATGTATGTATTTATGCCTTTATCATGTCAATTCCACAAAAACAGGCAACAGACTGGAATGTTCTGAAGCACTTACATTTCCAGTTTGTCCTTTCAGAGGAAAGCATGCTAAGTTAAATCTGTGAGAATCTCCATATATGTTTTACAAGACTTGCTGTACTAATATTGAAATTCTATAGAACCTGATATCTTGAAAGATCTGAGCATGGGAAAGATGACAATATAGTAATTTACGAGCTTTAAAATTATAATATGTAGAAATTAGCTGTTTCTTGTTTCCTGAGTGGGGTGGAATCAAAAGGAAGAGACTGTTTTTGTTAAGACAATTTATTCCAGAAATGAAGGAATGTATATTAGTACTCAGTGCTTCTAAATTGGTGAACTGGAGCAGAAAATTTTTATTTTAAGGTGTTGTTCCACAAATTCAGGATGTAAGTAATCTGTAAGCAATGCTGCGTTGCTGGAGAGGTTGCATATTACATGAACACAGGCAATTGTGTTTTTTTTTTTCCCACACAAGAGGGCAGTTTTTTAGGCTGTTCACATTTCATGAATAATTAGTAACTGCAATGTTGTACCTGTGTTTAAAAACATTAAATAAAGTAATTTAGAATTGCTACTCCTCCCTCTGTGTATCATTACATTGGCACATACAAAATATACTTAAAAATTCCATGTGTGTATAATTAAACCAACTTCTCTTTGTAACACTGCTCTGATTACTTAAGATAAATTATATGAGTAGAAAGAAACACTCTCTCAAAGCACTCCAGCAATAGGAGGTCTGGCTTCATAACATTTTTTGGTCTTTTTTCTTTTTGTCAGGAGAATCCAAGTATCTTTGCTCCATCTGTGGAAAATCTTTCCATAGGGCATCAGGACTCAGTAAACATATAAAGAAACACCAGCCAAAGCCTGAAGTTCGTGGATATCAGTGTACTCAGTAAGTTGGTTGGTGGTTAACTCTGTTATCTTTGTATCAATAATTAATCCTCTTTGGTTAAGGGAAGCAACAGCTGTTAATATCCTAATAATGCAAATTTCTGATGTCTTCCAATCAGTTTGCCTCTGATTATTCCCCATAACAATAACAGAAAGGGTATAGTTACCCATAACAGACAAAAGTATTGCAAAGCTCCTCAAGTTATATTCCAGACTTTCAGATAAGCTACTATTCCTTTTAATTTTCCCTAGTTTGGAAAGGGAATGTGCTTTATATAGATGTTGATGACACAGTAGGTGTTGTCTTCTCAAAGTCTTCAGTTGCCATTAAGAGAGGGTTCCAGTGCCTTCCTTTCTTACATGGGATGTTAAAACCTTTATTGTTACAGGTGTGAAAAGAGTTTCTATGAAGCTCGAGATCTTCGGCAGCATATGAATAAACATTCAGGTGTGAAGCCATTTCAGTGTCAGTTCTGTGGAAAATGTTATAGTTGGAAGAAAGACTGGTATTCTCATGTAAAGTCTCATTCTGTCACAGACCCTTATAGGTAAGAGGAAATTAATTTAACAATTGGAATGTACTAATCAATGTGAGATGATACAGATCCGAAGCCAGTCAACAAGGAGCTGCCTAGTCCATTGTTAAAGAACCAATTGATTGATGTTGACTGGGGTCTTGAGTACTTGAGAACAGATAGATGACTTCAAGTAGTGTGGCGCAAATTTTAACCTGCTGGTGCAATCCTGGAACTGGTACATATGAAGTTGTAAGGGGATAAATATAATTGATGATGTTAGAAATGCTTTGTATGTGATCTTTAGAAGGGTTAAGTGAAAGATTTGTGGCTGTGAATAAGATAAAATGTAGCTCAGTCGAACAATATTGTTTCTGATTATGGAACTACTTGTCATATGAGACAATATTCTTATTAAACTTTGCCTACTGTAATTAAAGTGCATTTTGTTTTAAAAAGCATGACATAAGCATAGAATAATGATTTAAATAGATTTCTCACTTAACACTTTTTAGGTGTAATGTATGTGGTAAAGAATTTTATGAGAAAGCTTTGTACAGAAGACATGTAAAGAAAGCCACACACGGTAAAAAAGGAAGGGCAAAACAAAATCTGGAACGAGTTTGCGAGCATTGCGGAAGAAAATTCACACAACTCCGGGAGTACAGGAGACACATGAACAATCATGAAGGTATGTAGAAAACAAGTAGTCATGACATCCCTCAACCCCTAAAAATATGTCAGAGAAAAGGGTAATTGTTTCTTTGAGTCTGCATATGTTCTGCATTGCAAGACAGACAGAAGTTCCCACAGATTCTCTCCAGTTAATTTTATGCCAGTCCTGGTTAACTTACTTCCAGTGATTCCCAGAAGTGGCTGTTGGGATCTTTCTAAAACTGCAGTCACATGCAGAGACAGTGACAGTTTTTCCTTCTCATAACTTTAATGGAAGAGGAACTTTTTTAGAAGTGATTAAACGATGTCTACCTGGCAAAGAATTGGATGTAAAACGTTCTCCACTTTGAAAGGTGCACACAGCATTCTTCAAACAGGAGAGTGTTTGGTCTGTATTTAAAAAAGGACCACTGCTGGAAATTGATCAGCCTCGTGATGTATAACAAGCAGTAACCTATGTGTTGTTTGGGGAAAATATGAAAACACTTAAAAAAAAAAAAAAAGAAAAAGTATCTGCACTTCCACTTGAGATGTGAAATATGATACTGATTTGAGTATTTGGTTGTTCCAGCTGTGTTGAAAGTCTACATACGTTCCTATCTTGGGATAGATTCCTATCTTGGGGTAGTTTATATATGTTCCTATCTTGGGAAACTCTCTTCACTTTCTTGAAGCATGTCTCCTTTTAAAGAGCTGTTATGAACAAATCTAAGAGCTGTGTAATTATTGAAATAGGGATTTAGTGTTTGTTTCTAAACAGAGAAAGCGTTCTCTAATAGGTACCTAGCCTAAATCTACAGTAACTGTTACAGAGGAAAAGCCAGTATTGAAATAGGGTTGTCACCACCCACATGCCCCATTTGATACTGTAGACCACAGAACTCAGATGTTGTAGGGGAGAATAAGATTATACAAACATCAGATGCAGTATTTGAACATCTGTGGTGTGGAGGAGGACGGGAAAAGCTGTAGATGGCATTACAAACTAACTAGAATAAGTGCTGATTTGATGAGACGTAAGATTTACCGAAACAAAGGGTGACAAAGAATGTAAGTGATAAATTCTATTAAGTAAAAAATGGCTTCAGAAAGGCTTCACTGGAAAAAAAATTTGAATTTTATTAAGTGGTATGCTCTTAAAATAGGGGAGAAACTGCATTGAAAGGAATTTTGAAAAGAAAATTTATTTAAAAGTAAATTACTACATTAGGCCAGAGCACTTGTGGAAAATCTTACTATTGGATGTATTGTGCTTGCACTGTATTGTAGTACAGAAATGGTAAGTAAGATCTTTCTCACATGGGAAAAGTGGTAGTATTTCTTTTATACTGCTGTTCTCCCTGTCACTTCTCATCCTTGCTCATGCATATTTGTGAATACTGATGGTCATCTTTTCATCGCCTTCCCTTTGAGAACAGGTGTGAAGCCATTTGAATGTTTGACTTGTGGCGTAGCCTGGGCCGATGCACGTTCATTGAAGCGTCACGTGCGGACACATACTGGAGAGCGACCGTACGTCTGTCCAGTGTGCAATGAAGCTTACATAGATGCCCGGACGCTACGGAAGCACATGACCAAGTTTCATAAGGACTATGTACCCTGCAAAATTATGTTGGAAAAAGATACTCTTCAGTTTCATAACCAGGGGACACAGGTGGAGCACGCCATCAGAATTTTATCAGCAGACATGCAGGAACAAGAAACGGATATTAGCGTTGGTGGTAGTGAGATTGAGACGGTGGTGGTGACAGGAGAGACACTTGAAGCCATTGAAGCAGTTGCAGCTACTGAGGAATGTACATCAGTCTCTACTCTTTCTGACCAAAGCATCATGCAGGTGGTAAATTACGTATTGGCGCAACAGCAAGGACAGAAAATGGCTGAAGTGACACAGGCCATTGAAACTGTAGAAGTAGAAGTGGCCCATGTTACAAAGACAGACTGAATATAGTATAAGAGAGAGCGAGAAGGATGAGGTCTTGCCATCTGTGAGAGCTAAGTATTTAACTGGATATCTGAGGCTTGCAGTGATACCTGTTTTCGAACAGTTAATCCCCAATACTGAATGTCTTGGTGACAAAATACTGCACCATGCATTATGGGGAAAAAAGTTAAGATGCTTCAGTGTGGGCCAAAGCTTTGAAGGCTAATATTTCTGCACTGGCTATAACTGTTACGAAAAAAAAAGTTGGAATAATCATGTTTTCTGTGTCATGGAGTAAATATCATGCTGTAACTTTTAAAAAAACAAAAAGGAAAAAGTATGAAGAGGCTGCTCTAAAAACTAGAAATGCACAGGTATCAGTAGTGGTTTTTTACTTTTGTTTTTATGTGCGTTTAAGTTTGTGAGTAAATTACCTGTATTGGATTCTGTCTGTTTACTCCCCAAGACAAGGGGATGGTAGCATGCTTCATGCAGCGTGTGCTTCATGAGACATACGGAAAATCTGAGGCTCTTTTCTTTGGGTAGATGCACCATTGGCAGTTAGTGAATCCCAGTTTTGAAGAAATTATTTAAATTCCAGGTCAGTGGGTGGCAGGTCCAAGGTTCAGCAAAACACTGCAAAATGTTTTACAGATGATGGGTGGGGGTCCACTGGAGTCAGAGGAAGTGGTTCTCTGCGACGGATTGTGAGTTTAAGTTGACCAGAAGACAGCCCACTGCAGGGAGACTGCTTAGAGAAGTGAACTGCTTTTTGTTTGTAAGCGAGGAGCTTACATGTCATTCTCTATGCACAACCATGTTTTGTATAATGATGTTTGGTTGCGTAAAGCAAATTATCACCCGCATTGTTTTATGTATCCAAAACAGGCAACCTAATGATGTATGCTTCTAATTTTGTATTGCATTTGATGTAAAAACTCCGAAATGAAAAAAGTCTAATAGCACGCTTCTTCGGGAATATAAATATACTGAAGAAGTCTAGCTAATTTTGATCTGATCTTGTCTTGTATCATATTGGAAGGAGGAGCCTTGCTATCCCCCAGAATCAGGATAGAGAACTATGAAAATCTTAGTATGGGGTAAAAATTAAATTTTCTCAAAATACCAGAGTCTCCAGAAGACCTTATTACTGCTGTTGTAATAAAATACTTCTAGAGCAAGCTAATTCCCAGTGTTACACCACATAAATGGAAAAATTCTTACTAGGTTTTCCTGTGAGTAGGCATGAATCACAGCCAGGCTTGGCCCAAGTTTAAGTGTCTCTGATTTAATACCACGAGCACCACACATCTTAATCTGTACAAGGTGTGGGTTCTTTCATTGTTGTTTGGGTTAAGCAAGAAACATGTCTACCAAGAGGTACCCAAATGTGCTACGCACGTGAACAATCAGAACTGTATTCTTTATGTTGTTCTCAGTCTAGAGTAGTATCAAATGTTTCCCAACTTTGACAGCAGCAAGATATCCAAGGAGCCAGAAGCCTGTAATATTGCAGGGTAAACTTTGTAAATAAAGTTACATGCCTAAAACTCTGTATTACCTGTGAAACAGATCCACTGAACAAAATTTAAGCAAAATCTGTGACGAAGTAACCACCTCATTTGAATTAGTATTTCTCTCTTTCACCTTAATTAACTATTTGAGTATCTGTCTACTAAGCTACAGGATAGACTATTCTTTTTATACTTTGCAAGCATGTAGATAAGCAGTTGTTGAAAATTTTTTAAGCAATATGTAGTTTGAGTTCCTGCCTTGGATCCAAATTAATCTATATATGGCTGTTTCAAAGGTCAAGGGCTTCCTGCAGAGAAGTAATGTAGTTATGTATACATCCTGCAGCCCTTTACAATTGTATGCTTTTCTAATTACAGAATGGAGTAAAACTAAAATTAATACTTTAAAATAAAAATACTGCTAGCTGTAACTCTTGAATTTTCGTATGGTCAAGAATCTGGAGAGAGCCATCCTGCTTAAAACGAAAATACTGCCATTATGATGGAAAATTATTTAAAAGAGCACTAGGTAAACTTGAAAATTTACTTCAATGTTTCTATCTTACAAATAATTATGCATTACTAAAGTGAGGAAATGTTAAATAGCTGTAAATAGTGCTAGAACATTATTTGTATATTTAGTGTGTTACCTTACAAAAAGATTATTACCAGCACCTTAGTTTAATCTTTGGTGCATTTATTTATTTACTCAGCCTATGGAAGAAGAAGTGAATCTGAATTTCGAAGCCTTGTTACCCACTGTAAAAATGCTTTAACTGACTTGATGGTCTGCCATTTGAAAACAATCAATCACAGAAGGTTGTTTGCTAAACAAGACTCAGCCAGGAATGTCAAAGCTGAATGTTGTGGCACCCCTTTCCTAAAGTACTGTGCCTTACCTTGTCAGAAGGGCATGAGGTAAGCAGGGAGTGTCCCTCTGAGCTTTGCTGTTCCCATGTGTGTGAAGTTGCCTTATGTTTTTCTTTAGACTTCAGTTCTTAATTTAAGATGTTCACTACCCTTCTACAATCTATTTGAAGTCAGACTGCAAATACGCAGTTGGTATTATTTAATTTTTTTTTTTAAATAATGAGAAGTGTCCATTTATAAAGTATTCCTAGTGAATTCCTGTACATAATTAATTTGATTTGTACATCCTGCTGTTTTTATTTAGTATTAGATGTATAAAGTTACGGTTATTTCTGTCATTAAACTGAGCTTTGCCATGAAGTATTCTTTCAAGCAACTTTTTTGGGGGGAGGGGAAAAGTGGTGCAGAATTATTTATTATTCTTGGGTATTTTGCCTTCCATATATAGACAGATGTCTGGTCTGAGTGGTTCTAGTAACACTTTTTCATTTTTGCTTAAGGCTCAAAAAATTTACTTATGAGGAAAGGAGACCCACTGCCCTCCTAAATTGTGTCAGAATGTGGCTACGCAAGAGCACAACATTAACAACACAGTGTATTTTTACAGTTATATTGCTTTGGGTGTAAGACCTCTTGGTGGATGAGGCATCCACTCAGCCCCCTGCTACACAGCTGTAACCATTTTAGTTTGTTTCAGATATTATTTCTCTTGGGTTTCTGTACAACACTGCTACCCTGAAGCAAGTACCATACAGCATCTCTGTCTTGGCCTCTGCTCTGGCATGAATGTTTGAGTAGGGGTTGTGGCTTGGAAGTTGTCCTCCAGAGTCACTCTCCTGGCTGAAGGATGAGCTGTACAGCTGCCTCCTGGTCTGGGAAAGGTGGCCCGTGCCTTTCCGTTTGCTTTTAGACCAACTTCAAGGCAACATCAATGTTGCAGAAAGGCTGACTGATTAAGTCTTGTGGTTCAGCCTGATTCCTAGAGGAAATGCTAGGAGCTTTTGAGCATATTAACTCTTCGGTGAGCCCGTACAGGTAACCAGGCTAAGTGAGGAAGTATGTAATTAAAAACAGGGGTTTCAAAAGACTGAGTGGTGAATGAGTAACATGGTGTACCATTGAACAAATGATATTCACTGGGGATGCACAACTATAGATTAAAAACAGCAAAGTGATGTGTGGATAATTTCCCCCTACCTTTGTTTCCACTGGAGCTAGAACTGTGTCATTCCTGGCTGCTAAAGGAAGAGCCATGAGTTTCTACAGCATTGGCATGTGTATGCATTCAGTATGACCACATTCAGGAGCAAGTCTTGCAGCTGCTGCTGACAATGCAGTGGGAACCCAGCACCTCTCAAGCAGTTCTTTACTGAGACCTGTTCTCATGCTGAAGCATTCCAGCTACTGAAGGTGGGGGGCCCCAAGTCAATGTTGTTGCCACCTTGAGGCACAGGGCTGTTGCGGAATATGCTTACAACTCCAGGGTGACTTTGAAGGGACTTTTAAGAAAGTTTGTCCTGGACCCCTATGAAAAGTTTTGTCCTGAGGGCAGTATTTCTTGTCCTAGGTAAAGTGCCCTGCCCTACAGAGGGTAACATCAGTATTAACTTAGTGCTTTTAGATGTGTAGTAGCCCAAGCTCTTCTTGTCACGGCCTTAAATTTTACATGTGAACAGATTGTGATAAACAAGCATCTGAGTAACAAAATTAAGCACCACCTAAGATACTTGCTAGTTTCACAATTATTCTTGAAACTACACTGCTATATTTGGTGCCTGCATTTCATTATAGTGGAGGGTGGTGTACGCACAAACAGGAAAGGCTACCACAGTGACACTTCTTTCACAAAAGCAGAGGCAGAGTTACAATTTTATAACAAGCTACTGAGCATCAGCCAACACTTTATATGCAACTATGTTTACAAATTATGGAAAGCTGGGGGAGAAAAGGAGAGATAATTATGTTTTTATTATGACTTGCATTACCTTAAATTAATACCCTTATACTGCAAGGAAGACAAACACAGGCTCGTGATGTCAAGTTTCAGTGGAGCTCTTGCTACAGAACCACAAACGCTTTACTTGTGCATCTGTCTCATCAGGAAACCAAATCCCAAGAACTCAATCACAAGATCAGCAAACGTTTTTAAGATCTCACTACATGCCACTGAATCAAAAAATACATACTCTCACTGGCAGCTGTGGCAGTCACTGCCGCTCTTACCTCCTTTACCTAGAGCCTAAAGGGTAGCTGACATAAATGTATCTATACTGCAAGAAGTGCTCACTGCAGAGTTCAAAGGCTTGCTTTGGTAACTACATGTTTGGACTCCCACCACTCCGGACTTTTAAATGGAAGTTCACAAGCAGAGATTTAACACGCTACCTACAGAGTTCAAGTGCAACAGTTCATGTTTTGTGCTTTTGTTTCTATGGGTAACTATGCATTTACCCTTATGCAATGGCTCCACATTACTGAACGCAAGCAGCTTTCTGAATGAAGCACTATATAAAGATGACAATGTATCAAAATTAGAGAACCTAAGAGATCCCTTTGTTAATAAAACCTGAAGAAATAAGAAGGTGTTAATAGGGTAAAGCAAAAAGCAAACTGTTAATTGTCCAATTTTTATGGTCTTCCAGTGTCTCTTGACAGAGGAACTAGACAAATTATGGTGACTTTAGAATGTAACCTTCCTTCCGAAGCTTAAGGGCAGAACTACTCAATATTCCTCAATTTATGATTTCATAATAAATTAAAAAAAACCCAACCTGTTTTTGTAGAACAGCTTTTAAGACTACTAACTACACAGATAAAAAGCCTCCTTCAGGAAGCAGAAGCTGCCATTTTCTCAAAAGCTGACTCTTCCTCCAAGTCTCCTCACACTGAAAGCTTTGGTAAAGCCTTCAGCAGACAGAACTCTGCACAGTTAGGCGAGTTGTGACAAGGAGGTGCTCTACATATCTTGCAGACAGAAAGATGAAGTGCATCAGGCCTGAATGCAGCTGCGGCTGCTGCCGTGGTGGACACATTAGCACATGCTGGCTGAATACTGTAGTTAGGTCATCTATGACATGGGAGTAAGCCCATGAAATTAAAATAGCATCCATCAGGTACCTTACAGACAGGCTGTCTGGGTACTTCATTCTGCTGATAAAATATAGACTCTGAGAACCCAGACAGCACAACCTCCTACGCTTTTAAAGGAATAAAATTAGATGTGAAAAGGACTACACCAGCAATGCTTGAATCACTTCCACTAGTAGCTGACTGCAGTGCTTTGTTTTGGGGTTTCTTTTTATTACTTCAGTAGAGTTAGGATTAGATGAGTTTGGATCCATTCACAACCCAGCAGGCTCAAAAGCTGCCTAGCTGCAGGGTGCCACAGAGGAGGTTACTGAATAACTACTACAGCTTTGCCTAATGTCTTGAATGTTTTGCAAGCTGCTCAGGTGCTAAGTAAAGCTTTACTGCTAAGCAAGCATAAGCTTTCAGAGATAAAACTGCAAAAGTTACATGGATAGACATTTCAACCACTGACAAGTATACATACCTTGCTATATTAAGCAGCTAAAGGTCTCAGCATATCTCCTAGAAGCTCTTAAGATAGATAAATCAGGCAATTTACCACGGGCTTTAGTATTCCCAAGTATTCTTAGAAAAATAACAAAAAAAAATAAAATACACCCACACCCCCAAGACTACCTTCACACAAAGACCATGACTATCTTAACAAAAGCCTAGAACTTCAAGTGAAGTTCTAGCAAACATTTGCCTTGACAATATGTTTCAGGTCAGTTCTTTCCTGCAAGCATTAGACATCAAACATCAGCAGACAACCTTGTAGCTACAAGATTAACCTTGTTAGGCAATCAGTCCTATGTGTATTTAGGCCATCCTGATCAATTTTCTTCCATGAAGCACTGAGAAGAACAGAACTCATACATCGAGTGAGACAGGATCTCTGCTCACCTTCAGCTGAGATCTAGAGGTTGCTGCAGTCTCTCACAAGGTCTAGGATTACATTTATTGACCAAGGGAGTAAGAAAGATAAATATAACTTTTGCTCTCTCACTTGTATGGCAGTTACTTCCTAGCATGTCTGCTGTTTTGCCTAGCAATAAGTACCAAGAAAATTCTGTTGAAATGAACGTCTACTTCAGTCAAAGGTGTGGAAGATATTGTTGGTGGCAAGTTAACTAAGAAAGAACAGGTCTGAAAGTCCACTCTCTTATTTTTACTCAAAGTTTCCTTTTGCTTTTTCCTAATACAAGTGACCGACACAGTATCAAGTGACTACTAAGGAGCAAGATAAAATAGCTATTCACTGTGAGTTACCACTATCTTAGAGGGATTTATTTCAACAAACATAACCACATGTGATAAAAATAAGTGAAAAGCAAATGCTTCATTTTGCCTTGCCTAGTTCCAGTAATGCCCAAATCAGTTTTGGAAGTCCTGAAAGTCAGTTTTCAAAGTGTGATCTGTTTTGTTTTAAATAAACCAAAGATTTCTGCTATGGAAAAAAAATAATGTATATATGTTTTTATGTTACGTTTATAACAAGGCTTTTAAAGAAAATAGTTACAGGTATTCAACTGCATCAGACTTCAAAAGAAAAAAGATTACACATACAATACAAAAATACAAAAAAAATTTTTTTAGAACTTAAACTCAAAAGTCTAAGTGGTCAGAGCTTTCCTAAGATAAAAAAAAAATACACTTCAAGATGCACTTTCAGGTTCAACTTTAGCATGAAGAAAGGTTTTAGAGGCAGGATGCAAGCAATTAACATACTGAATTCTACAGCCAGTTCCAGGCTGAAACTAATTTAATGGTCGACACTATCAGGTGTTTGAGTTTAAAATGAACCTTATGTTTGTTTGGAGGAGGCAGGGGTGCTGCTTTTGGTAACTTTTTGTTTATCCATTGTGCTAATAAAATAATTCAGGCTGCAGGGTTTAAAAATAAGCTGAAATTTAGACAGTCCTTACTAGGTTTCAAGTCCTACTGCACTGTTGTGCAGTATGAAAGCTAGGAAATTAAACTGACCAGACTAATGTCATTGTTGAAAATTACTGCAAAAGGCAGACAGGTAGGAAAAGGTTGAGTTTTATTTCTGAAGTTGACACTTGTTAGAAGCCTTAGGACTGCAAATACAGTACTCTTCTTTAACCTGATAGTGTCCACTGTGGTCACAGGCATCAAGGTATTTTGTTTTAAATGGCAAGACAGGGAAAGTGCATCTTAGATTTTTCATACTTAAGCAGTGAGTTACTGATTTTTGGTGTGGCTTTTATTCCTTCTAGGCATAGTAAAGAAAAATATTTCAACCAAATGTGAAGCTTAATGTACATTAGCTTGTCTTTCTGGTGGTGGCTTTTGTGTACAAGGAAATGCTAACGAGTACTACTCAAGGCTAATGATTTAAGAGGAGCACACTGAAAATACTGATTTACCTTTGTAGTGAATATTCTTTACAGACTGTATCTAATATACAGACAAGGCCCATTTCCTTAGGATGAAACAGGCCACAGAAGGTTACACATCCTACATGAAATTTTAAACAAAATTAGAGCTAAGTTACCAGAGCCACTCAGAGCAACATAATTCCGAGTTTGCAGAGACTTAACTGCAGAGAAAAAAAAAAATCCAGGTTCTTATTATTTCCTGCATAAGTTTATATTCAAATTAATAGTCCAGTAACACTTCTAGCACAAGACAATGCTCGCTTTCTTTAGCAGTATTCTTAGGAGTCAACTGTTTCTCCTATTATGAAGAGGGAGCCAGAAGTGAAAATGCCAGAGTATTCAATGTTAACCTGATTAAAGAGACAGTAACCTTTTTCATCTGCCTTAACTAATCACTGTCAAAAAAAAAAAAAAAAAAATCTTAAAAAGGTACCACTCCAATTTCTTTATTAACTATAACCTTTTGAAACTAATCACATGGAACTACAAAATTAGCAAATGCCTTGAAATCTGTATACAAAACATAAATTACCTCTAATTTCAAACTCAGTTATTAGTGTACCACTCAAAATCTTAAAAAAGTGGCTCCAAAGATAGTCTTATACCATTCTTAAAAAAGGAAACTGTTCCTTTAACATTATACCCTCCCCCCACCCCCAAACACCCAACTCTCAATCCACATCATTTAGTTATTCTCTTGGTCATGGACATTTCCAAGATGAGATTTTATATTTCGTTCCCATAGCTTCTGGTTGTCAGAAAAACCATGCTTTCCTTTATTGAAGGAATTTGGTCCTGCTGAGGTTGGTGTATCCCTGCGAAAAGTAAAACAAGATCAGTTGAGAAAAATCAGTTCAAACTACAGCAGTTTGTGCAACATGACACTGAAAACACCAATTTGAAATCCAACCTGCCGCCAGAAACTACCACACGTTTATTTCTTTCTTTTACATCAGGAGTCCTCACTATTAGTTACTGTAAGCTGGCGATAGAACTGATCTCTCTGTAGCATGTCAAGACACAGCTATGAGATGGGGCAGTAGAGGAGGTAGGAATAGCAGTAACTGCTGTCAGCTGTGAAGAATTTGTTGCAAGGGCTACAAAATTGAGGATCCAAATCTGCTACTTAAAAAAACCCAACAAACCACTGAACAGCAGCAAGCCTCCAGGGGACTGACTTTAAAAATGGTCTATCATGATCAACATCTTTAAAATATATATGCTCAGAATTCACCCCTAACTTCAGTGAAGCCTCTTCTGAAAACGTCCCTATTTATTTTAGGATTCGCCCAACACTCAAATTTGTGGCAAGCAGAAGAATTACAAAGTTTGTTTTAAAAGTAAACAGGCTATTCTTTGTCTCTCTGAAAGAGATGATTCTCATTTTACCCTTGCATGGAGTTTAAAAATACGAACAGACTACCCTACTTCAGGGCAATTTATAAAATGGAGAACTAGAAAGATACAAAGTTTAGCAGCAAGCAGAAACTCCCACCTATTACCTTTCCAAGAAGAAAGCAAGCTTCTATTTTAATACAATATCAATTTCTTGCTCACAAAGAAGGTGGGAAATAAGATTACAAGTGCAAATGTAAATGTACTACTTTCAACATGCAGCTGAAGCATTAGAAAATATCTATATTAAAACTTTCTTGTTTCTTGAGAAAAAATATTTCAACCTATTCTATCTCCCTATATTTCTAAACCATCTGCCAGATCTGACCTGTGCTCAGGAAGGTATTCTCACACATTCACCCTTGTCCGAACCACAGTTAAAAGCTGACCTACCTTCCAATGTTCTTCATGCGCATCTTGGCTTCTGGAGGCATTTCTTCTGGTTCACTCTACAGAGAGAAAGGAGGTTAGAGTGTGTCTGGCCACCTTCTTTTGAACATTTCAAATGCCTGACAAGATACAGTATGGACTACAGGAAAGCAAAGTGACTTAGGGCAAAACAGAGGTTCTACAAGGTTATAGAAAGAAATACAAATTCCCTTGTTCTCCTCTGTGTAAGACGGAGAAGTAACAGAACAATAAAATATTTAGCTAACCGGAAGAAGCATAACTTTGCTTCGCCTTCCCTATATCGAGCCCAGAGAAAGCAACCATTCATTCAAATTATGTTGTGCATCTCATTTTAAGAGAAACATTAGCAGCACTTCAATTCTTTCTTGAACCAACACAGAGCTACAAAGTTGTACATTCTTAAACAGAAACACAAGAGACGTTTCTAGGTTGAAAATCCCTGATGTTTAGGTAAAGAACCTTACATGACCCACTCCCTCTGCCTAACTCTAACCCGTAATATTACTTCAAGTGTGTTGATCAGTAGCTTATTACTCACATCTTCATCTTCGTTGAAAGCTGCTGCTACAGAAAGAGTTTTTGGAGCAAGGGTTGGAACAGGCTCTTTAGGCTTCTGAAAAAGACCAAATGCAACAGTAAAGTCTACTAATTCAAAAAAGCTACCCTTGGTATTTTAAATATCTTAGTAAAATTAAGTCAAGCATCTTCACTGACAGGGGCAATCAGGGCTAAAAGTGGTTTTGTTTGAATCAAGCAGAAAAAGGTTTCTCTATAATGACAAAGGAAAATGGCTGCTCATTTGCAGGAGATATACTCTGAAAAGCAAGCCAAGCTCTCTCATATTACAGTTCCCCACAAGCAAGTCTTAACTTTCTCACACACTGCAGAAGCATTCAGCCACTGGTGCATGACATGAATGATTATATCAGAACCTGAATAAGGTGTGGCATTCAAAATTTTAACATCACTGCTTCCATTATTCTTTTGGAATAGTCTTATCCACCAATGCCAGGAAAACGAATACGTTTATTTTCTGGTCTTTTAACAACATAACAGCCTTCTGGCTTAAAACAACTCAATACCTTTTAAATAGCATCAGTGTGCATCACACAGTCCGATTAATATAAGTTTCCTTCAAAAAGTATTATTTTTATTTCCAGTAAATACCTTCCTTTATTTAAAGTGCAAGAAGCTATCAAACTCACAACTGTTACATGTAATACAGCAGAGACACTGAAAGTAACTTCGAGACAACTAAGAAAATATTGACTCATCAGTAACAGTTTGCTACTACAGCACTACCGTTTATCTAAATTAATCATATACAGTGCTTCCTCCATTTTTACTTCATTGGTGATTATTTAATATACACTCAGTTTCAAAGCTGATACTGCAGCAGAGTCCTTACACAACTTCCAGCTATTCCTCACCAACAGTGTATAACGTATAAATATTGTGCCCTTTTTAAAGCACAGGCTCCACAGGAACAGGTAAAATCCTAAGGGAGTAAAAATGACTAAAAAGAAACAGTATAAGTTTCAGCACTGTCCAATCTGGCACACTGTCAGTCACCCACTAAATTCAGTGAGCCAGAAATCCTGAGCCAAATTTATTGCCTCTGGAAGTATCTTTCTACATGAGAAATCGGAGCTTGATAGTGGCTCAGAGAAGGCAGCTTTGTCAATTTTTCCAAAGTCTGAGCTGACCTGGTTGCATTTATACCCTAGAATGCTGCCAGCCCACATCTCCCTCCCATCTCAAAATAACAGAGCTCTCTCTTCATTTTTTGCAAATCTGTAAAATGCTGGCATTGCAGGTGCAAGCCTTTCATGATTACAGATTGAATTTAATCCACACAAGGATTTATAATGTAACCATCACAGTGGTACGTGGGAAGTGTAAATGAACTGTATTAGAGAGGCAGCATCTGGCTTGTCCTTGCTCTAGCTAGTGGAGGACTACTCTGGTAGTAAAGAGAAGCATCAGATTCACATCTGACCAAGCACAAGGATACCTTGTACTGGACAATAAAGGGAATCATAATTCTTAGGAACCAATATAACAAAGCATATAGTATAAATGAATCATACTGACCTTGCAAAGAAAAGGCAAAGTCACTGAAAAATAAACTACAGTTCCCCATGCTAAAATAAAATCTTTGGAGCAAAAGATGACCTATTAAGCCATCTAGGAGATTACTTGCTTTCTCGTAGCTTTAAGCATCCTATGCAATGAAGCTCCCAGCACTCATTTTAAAGTAGCCTGAACTGTTTAACAAGTCTGTTCATTTCCTTCAGGAAATTATTCCAGACTTATCAAATCTTATTACAAAATTATTCTGTATGTTCAAAGATCTACAGTTTATTTCAATCAAGTCTTATGCTTCCTGAGACAATCGACCTAGTATTAATCACCTTGAATGACCAGCTGGCCCTGCAATGCTTTCTTAAACTTTATCCAAGTTACCCACATTTAATTCAAGGCTTTCCTTCCACACAGAAGCCTCCCCACAATATTTCCCCTTCGTCTCACTTTCCTTAAAATTAGAAGCCCTCAGACAACTTACATTTGCTCCTAGTTTGATGGATATTGCAGACGCCTTCTTTGTTGTCTGACTGCCTATGGAAAATCCAAACTTGGACATTTTGGCAGGAGCAGGCTTTGTGGTGAAGTCTTCAGCTTCTTCCTTAGCTGCCCGTTTCTCTGCACTGCGACTCGAACTTTCTCCTCCATTACTGGAAGAAACAGTCTTAGTTTTCACAGGTTTTTCTGCCTCTTCTTCAGGTCCTGGTGAAGTCGAAACAACTTACCAAGATGAGCTATTTTTACTGAGCAGATTGATGGGAGCAGCAACCTCAAAAAGCATTATACTTTGGGTGCAATAAGTAAGGTGTTTTTAGTGACAGCAGTTTCCACCAATGTACGTTTAGTGGACAGAAAAACACAAAGAGAAGAAGAAACCGCAAGTACTCCACTACTTGTAAAGAACTTCTTGTGTATGAGCCAGGAAAACAATCTTGAAGCACCATCTCTTTATTTAGCATGGAAGTCAAAGTTCACGTAGTAAATTAAATGCAGGTCACTAAATCTTTTTAGGGTTTAAATTGCCACAGATAAGCTTTCATAACTGGAATCTCAATTCCAAATCTAGAGAAGGTAATCTAATTTAAAATTAATTCTACTAAATTTCTACAAAAACATGTCCATGCCAGTCTCTAGGCTTGTCTGGCACAACTCTAAAATCATGGAAGTGACTACAGTGAGGCCGGCTGTCTCAATCATGTTTCAAGTCACTGCTTGTCCGCATCTCATGTGTAATAAATCTGCAAAGCTCTGCTTGAGGAAGGAATCAGCACTAGAAAAACATATATATATATATAGATTTCAACTTTTCTAATTTTGAATAAAGTCATGGAATACATAGTAGCTGAACAATGATCCAGAGGAGAGAAAAAACACTAAAATCACATTTTTATTCCTATACACTCTGCTTCTTAAGCTACACCAAGAGAAAAAGGCGCCCTTGGAAAACTCATACTGAACATAGTAAATGCTTCAGCAAAAATATGTTTCTCTACTGCTGCAATAAGCAAATGACTGCAGTAACAGAAGGAAAAAAAACCCACACATTGGAGAATGGACAGGAAAGTGCTCATACTATCAGCGTAAGGAAAACCAGAGTGAGCACCAGTTCCTCATTATATCAGGTAGAGAACAGGAACCTCCACACACAGCAAATTCACATCAGAGAAGAAAGCTCTTCACACTGCACTCTAACAGCAAGAAGCTATTAAGCAAGACAGGTTAATGGGAGAGAAGCTAGTCTGAACTGGGGGTCGACAAGACTGCAGCTCTGAGGAGAAAAAGGAAGCAAACATCAGCAGAAAGGAAAACTAGGGACACCATCTATATATGTACTTTTTCTATTTCCCAAATCATAAGCAACAGAATATACCCTTTCTACCCCACTCTTCTAGCTATCAATATAGTATTTGGAACAAAAATGGATTTATTTTTCACCTTTGGAAAAATGGCAGATCAGAAAAAAAATAATTGATAACATTAATCAGTTTCACCCCATTAAAAAATTGTACTAGTTTGCACCACTAGAAATTTGACCCTGAAAGTATAGATATAAAAGTTACAAAGGAGGAAAGAGAAACAGGCAAAATTTCCAAGTGACCTTGGGTACCGGTTGCTGTCTTAGCACAGTTTTCCAAACAGCCGTCTGCAAGGCTATGAGCTCTTTACAGCTAGTCCATGAAATCGCATTAAACAGAATATTCAATTACAAGTCCAATCTAGGTACACTAGAGACTGTAAAGGTGATTTGAGGATAGGTAGAAGATTTGCTGGCCTTGGAAGTGTTGGAACCATGGGCCTAAAGGTCTGCTTTTTCATAAGATACAAAATCCACACCAGCCCAAATCTCAGGGCACTCTGGATCAGTCCAGGTTTCTAAGCTAATGCTAGCTTGAAGCTAACTACACTACAGCCTGCTTCTTTGACTTCAAATTCTAGAGCATTGCTAAGCACAAGACGAAGCCTAACACAATCTAGAGCTGGCTGTATCAACCCCCACATCTGTTTCCTCATCAAAATATTAAACAGCTTCTCCCTCAAATTAGCTCCTATCACCACCGCATTATGAATGTTACTTCCGCTAGGCTCCACTTAAGATGAACTGTGGACTGCTGAAAGAAATAGCTTCCTTACATAAACTCTTACTTGATAAAGGAGATATAAAGATCATACAGCAATTGGGGTGGTTGGGGAGTAAGCCGTTGTGCTGTTCCATGTCTGCAGCAGACAGTTTGAAATGCATACGTGTATTATCCATTAAACAAGTCTCTCCCATCTGCTGTGCCAATGCTTATAGGTTTTTCAAAACATTAAGATTTTTTTATTTTTCCTAGAGATCTCAAGGAGGTCATATTTCACCTACCAAAAGCACCAGAACTATTTCAAAAACTAGTCTGACTAGTGATTTTTTTTCATAGATCACAGTAATAAAAAGCTGTCCTACTTCACTGATGAGCTTTCCTCATGAGTATCAACAAGCTATGTAAGTGGACAACTTCCGCTATCTAGGAGGTTTAAGTGAGAAGACTGACAGTGCTGGCTGCACATCATTTCAGGATCTCTTGCCCCTGGGAGTGCGACCGCTGGTGGTGGTAACAACTAAAACAGTCACAACTAAGTTAAGTTTAAGGTAAACCCCATTGATATTTGCTAACACTACAGACTAAACTGCTTTCAAAAATCTTCAGGGCATAACTATCGTTCCTTAGGGCTAATGTACCATAACACATTAAGATCATGTTCCAGAACATCAAACAGTAGTACAAGACAGTATGGATAACTGACATCCTCATGCTGTCCAGTTACTGTGTTATTAATACTGAAAAAAAAACCCAAAAAACACAATGGAGTACCAAGAGTCAAGGAACTACCTAAAAGCAGGTATCACTCTTAATATTTGAGTGATTATCAAAAATATCACTTACTGTTGAAGCTATCCTAACTGGTCTACAAGCTTGACTTAACATACTAAAAAAAAATGCCCTCTACCTATATGCATACTTAAACAAAAAAACAAAACAAAACAGGAAAGGGAAGCTTATAGCTTTGCAAAGACACTGTCTTCTCAATGTTAAGTCAGGGGAAGAAAGAAGGAAAGAAACACACCATTAATAAGTATCATAGTATCATAGAATGGCCTGGGTTGAAAAGGACCATAGTGATCATCTAGTTTCAACTCCCCTGCCATATGCAGGGCCGCCAATCACTAAACCAGGCTGCTCAGAGCCACATCCAGCCTGGCCTTGAATGCCTCCAGGGATGAGGCATCCACGACCTCCCTGGGCAACCTGTTCCAGTGTGCCACCACCCTTTGGGTGAAAAACTTTCTCCTAATCTCTAACCTAAACCTCCCCTGTCTTAGTTTAAAACCATTCCCCCTTGTCCTATCACTATCCACCCTCGTAAACAGTCTCTCCCCCTCCTGTTTATAGGCTCCTTTCAAGTACTGGAAGGCCGCAATGAGGTCTCCCCAGAGCCTTCTCTTCTCCAAGCTAAACAAGCCCAGTTCCCTCAACCTTTCCTCATAGGAGAGGTGCTCCAGCCCTCTGATCATCTTAGTGGCCCTCCTCTGCATCCGCTCCAAGAGCTCCACGTCCTTCCTGTGCTGGGGGCCCCAGGCCTGGACACAGTACTCCAGATGGGGCCTCACAAGAGCCGAGTAGAGGCCCTCTCCCTTCTGGCCACCCCTTTTTTAATGCAGCCCAAAACACAGTTGGCTTTGCGGGCTGCAAGCAGGCATTGCCGGCTCATATCCTGTAGAACACAGGATGACAGCAACGGCCAAGCCATTATACAAAGAATACAAAACCAAACAGAAAACTTGCAGATTGCTGCTGAGCAAAAACCCCAGGATGCTTAGAACAGCAGATAAGGAACACTAACTTATGAATATTAGCTATTGTACCCATTCTTGAAAAGGTACCACAGCTGTTAAAAGCTAATCTTTAGGGCGTTCTCTTCATCCTTGCCAGTAGCAGCAGCAGTCATATTTCTCTCAATAAACGGCAGAACTACTTCATGTATTTTTTAAAGAGAAATAACTAATTTACGTGCACAAGGAGAAGCTGTTAGATTTTTAAACAAGCTCCTGTAAGGCTGAGGCTAATCCTCAGGCGTGAGAACAGACCTGGGGTCTCTCCAGCGCAGCCCCTCAGGCCCGGGCCGCCCCCTCTCCC